TTACATTATTAGTTTTGGATTTTATTTTTTCATATGAATAAATACATATATTTTTAAAAATTTTGTTATAATGTAATTGTTAATTTTTTATAATTGTAACATTGGTTCCAAGACACTTCCCAGAATGGTTTTATTAATTTGGTACTATCGTCTATTTATAATATTGTTTTCAGTTCGTTCAACATAATTCCTTATTATTATTGTTTTCCATGAATTCCAATTCCGTTACTCTCGTCACTCGATGTCGCCTTAATGTTTTTGTTTATTGAAATCATAAAACTTTCCTCTTATATACAATGTATTTAAATTATAGTAATTCGTTTGGAATAAGAACAAATTCCAACAAAATAATTTATGATATAAGATTTTTTTTTTTATTTTACATAATTATATATGTTATGTTTACATTATATTTATATTAAAACTTTAATAGAAGACAATTCAATATTTATATAAGTACTACTGTTCTTTGTTATTTTATTATATAATTGTATAATATATATTATGCAGGGACAGGAGAAGGCAACCTCTATCTACCTTTTTATGTTTGTTCTATAATCCATTTAATTAGTATTATTTTCATATGTCTAAATCAAAAAATATGTTTCTATTTTTTATATTATTATTTATTTTTACAACACGCATATTGTACAGTTCAGTGTTTTTTAATTATAAATACTATATAATTATAATAACAATTGTTATTGTAGTAAATTTGTTTGCCATTCTAAGTATAAAAAAAAAATAAAAAAAAAATATACTTGCACTGTTTTTACAGTCTTAAAATACTTTAACACTGAAAGGCGTCTCAGGACAAAGTAGGACGTAGGTTATCGGCCCACGTCCGACGTAGTCTCACGATTGGCATTCTATGGAGTCATGCAATCGCATAGTTTTATATTTTCACATTTTATGATAACCAGTTTTACAGCAATTTTGAATTCCCAGACAAGTTTGAGTGCATTCATATGTAACGTTATACAGGGCGAAATAGAAATCGTTGCCATCCTTTTAACGAAATGTTGTTCTACTAATTTATGCCAAAGAAAGTTGAAACGAATAACGATATGAAATTTTGGACTTTCCAGTATTTTGGCGATATCGAGTCCTTAAGTCTAAGACGGATCTTTGCCTCCCTTTGTGTGTTCTTCCGCTTGTATAACAGGTTGTGTTGTTTGAACTGATGCCCACAGTCACCTTTTATCATTTGACATTTTAGAGGAGTTTTCTACCGCGAGCCCTAAAGGCTCTCTACCGAGGTATTTCCTAGAGACTACAATGTGGGGTTCTTCAAAAATTTATTTATTTATTTTGTGATACATAGGTAACAATGGAAAAAAGAAATGGAAAAAAAAGAACAAGGAGAAAAAGGGTGTATTAAGGTTTCTTTAGGGTTGGTAATGCGCACCTAGTACCTCTAGTGTTGCAGACGTCTATACATTACAGTGATCGTTTACTTACAAACGCACTATATGATTGTTTGCCACTTTGGTGGTATAAAAAAATGATCAGATATTTTTATTATTTCCAAACTCATGTTTCGTTGGTATAAAATATTTAATTATACTGGTAGCATCCTTCAAAATAATACTAAGGATTTTAATTTCACCTTATATCTATACAACCTTTGTTGTCAGTACATAAATCAAATTAATATCATCTTTTCTAATATTATAAATGTCAATTTGTTTGTTTCCTTATAGCACCTTAAAGGCGTTTGCTTAAGCAACCGCTTTGAGTTTTGGTATTAAAGACTATTTTTTATCTCAATCACTGAATATATCCCCGTCACGTGGATGAAGTCGTGTGTATAAGCTAGCTAACTTATAAAAATTGGCAGTTTCTTCATAAACTCCTGAAATATTTCAGACAGACCTTTTTTCGTCCTTGATCGGCTCGTTTTATTGGAACACCAAACCTAAGTCAGGCTGACGGTCTTATCACTTTTATATAAAAAATAAAGTAAAATGATTCCCTTCGGGGTATCGGTAAATTAGTTCATTTTATCTTCGTTCATAAGCCCACCCCTCGAATTTTTTAGCCGAGAAGTAGATCTTTAATAATTTTTCTTTCGCCGAAGTGATTGGTTTATTATCCTGACTTATGTCCTTTATGGACCGTATTGGTTATTATATTTTTAGAAAAAATCTATTTTTATATTGCTTTTGATATTTTCTTATAATATATATATAAAAATTTATTAATAACGATACGGCAGATTAATTAAATTCAAATTCAAATTCAAATTCAAAAATCATTTATTCATACATTTTAGCCGCTTATGATTCAATTAATTATAATTTTATATTTTCCCTACCGTCCAGTTCGGTATATAGATTAATGGCAAGAAAAAAAGCCAGTTTATTTACAAGATACTTAGTTTCTAATGATTTAATAGAATATTTATTTAGTTACTAGCTTTTACTCATGCCGTTGTCCGCATGTCAGAAACAGATTGAAATTAGAGTTTTAATTTATAGGTATTTAATTATATTTCCTTTTAAATATTTTAATCGCAATTTTATTGTCAATATGAATAATATTACTCGACGATAAGTCTAAATAATACTTACTGATATAGACTAGATTATAAATGTGAGTAAGTTTGTTTGTTTGTTACCTCTTGATGCCTTAAGGGCTCAATCAATTACTATAGAATTTAACATACGCTATATGGGATGGAGAAGGCTATATAGACTACCTTTTCAAGTGCAAAAAATTACGGGTAAAAGCAATTTGATGATAAACTTTTGCACCAAGCCCGTTGATAATATGAGACCCATTCTTGAGAATTCAAATTATGAACATTAAAAATAACACAGTTTAAATTGAAGTTGCTGTAATTTTAACGACTTGAGACAAGATTTTCAAACTTGAAAGCTTATAATCTGAATACTTGCGGTTCGCTGTCGTCTATATTACGACCGACGTGGTTGTATTTAATGAGCATTGTTCTCAAAATCATACCGCATCTGAGAAACAAGTAAAGTTTTATGAGAATTTGTAACTTAGAAATAGTGTAGCTATTAGATTAAATATTGACTTAATCGTATTTTTATTTTGTATTACTAAACGATTTTTCTGTACACTTCTTCAAAAATACGTTATTTAACTTTAGTTAAATGAATTTGTTTTCATATTAGTACCGAGTTTAAGATATATTAAAATTTTATAAAAATGTATAATTAGTTTACTTGTAGGAATAATTAGAAATGGCATAGTAAGCTATTTAAACTGTTTATACCAATCTTATAAAGAGGAATTATTTGATTATTTGTTTGTAATGGATAAACTCAAAACTATTAAACTGATTTCAAACATAATTTCATTCGTAGAAAGCTGCATCATCAACAAGTAACATAGGATATATTTTCAAAAATTCTATCAAACCTATGCGAAGCCGGGCCGGATCACTATTATATTTTTTATGTAACCCAGAATCACAAACAAGTTGACGGCCCACCTGATGGAAAATAGTAACCATCGCCTATAGACATGAGCAGTACCATGGATATCACAGAGTGTACTGTTTTGCCCATAATACCTCCCATGCGTTGCCATTCCTGAGGACTCAGGTGTTATTCTTCTGTACCCTGTAAATTCACTGCCATATCCCACCCTTCAAACCGAAACATAGCCATACAAACACAACTGCTTCACGGTAGAAACACGAATGGGACAGAGGTGCCCAAGCAAACGATTTTTGTACAAAGTCTCCTCCTGGTACATTATTAAACGAAATCAAATAGAAGTGTCTGAATATTTATAACATAATATATATAATAATACTGCCACAGAATATATATATATATATATATATATATATATATATTTCTGAATTTTTTACCTACGTCAATAAGAATATTCGTTTAGGGGAATATGTCGTTTGACGATATAAACTCCCTTTGTATCTATCAATGATCAGTGTTCATTCAGGCGTACCCATGTACGGGCCAGTAACTTGAGTTTATTACTAACAAACTGTTCAATATTTTTTGTGTGTTAAAAATACTTAGAGAAATCGATTAGATGTAATAAAATAAATAAAAATTACTGTATATTAAGAGAGTTGTAAATTCAACAAATATATAGTCGACGAACCGACAACCGATTGAGAAGATAGTTTCTAGTGTGGTGATCCCGTACAGGTAAGAGTATACCAGAGTGAGACTTTGTACAAAAGTCGATTGCTTGGGTACCTCTGTCTCATTTGTATTTCTACCGTAAAGTAGTTGTATTTGCATGCCTGTGTTTAGGTTTGAAGAGTGGGATATGGCGTGAATTTACAGGGTACAGAGGAATAAGTAAGAGTCCTCAGGAATGGCAATCCATAGGGGGGTATCATGGGCGAAAGAGTATACTTTGTTATGTTCATGGTACTGCTCATGTCTATAGGCGACGGTTACCACTTTCCATCAGGTAGGCCGTCAGCTTGTTTGCCATTCTAAGTTGTATAAAAAAAAGGTAAATACACAGTAAAATGAACCCCCACTAGATGGAGCGACGACCTCAAATGCCTTGCAGGAAATCAGTGGATGCAGGTGGCTCAGAGGGATTCTGTGGGGTAGGATTATATTCAACAGTTGACTGTTAACGGCTGATATGATGATGCTGATGATGATATAGTTCATGTAACAAGAAGATGTATTCCATGCTTAGTTTTTGTATATAAGTTGTAATAATTATGTCGTCTATCTGTAATTATGTGTGTAGGTGGTATTTGGTCTATACATTAAACGTAACTTTAAAAATAAACACCCATAGTTTTAATTGAAATATAAACTTTTACCTACATCCCTTAATTTATATCGTCAACCATTTTCGATAGGCGAATATTCAGTGCTCATTCTTGTTTACGTGAAATTTGAATCCGTAAAGATCTTATTGAATTTATTGCCCGTATCTTGGTTTCTGGTTTACTTCCTGCACTCGTCAGATTAAGGGTTTAGATCCACTCCTATAAGGTACAAAATTAAAGCCGAATTAACTGTTTGTTTCAGATTACGAGAGGCTGCCAAATCTACATAATCTCAATACTTTAAAAGTAAGTGATTCGGATTTATGTTTATTTGATGAAATTAAGTTGTTTCAGACGAATAATTACTGTTCTAATAAATTATCTGTTAATAACACTCCACTGCTTCCAGTATGACGAGGAATTAAGAATACAACATGTCACGTCACTATTTTTCATTCTCAGAATGTCATAAGATTTATATTATTATTATTTCAGCCCTTAACTGTTCACTGCTGGACATAAGCCTTTCCCATAAGGGGAGTTTTGCCAGTAGTCGCCACGCTTGCCAGATGGGTTGGCAACCGCAGTTAGGCTTTTAGATAAGTTTTAAGAGGAACTCTGCTGCTCATCCCTCACCCTATCTTAGTTGCCTCTTACGACATCCACGAGAAAGGAAGGGGTGATCCATTCAAACAATCAAGCTGAAACATCAAACAAGCTGACGGCCCTCTCGATGAAAAGTGAAAACCGTCGCCTGTAGATATCGTATTAGCAATGTACCTATAATATATAGAGTAGGGTTTCATTTTCGCCACTAACATAGATACATATAATTATGGGTCATACTACAATATCTCTATATGTAGAAAAATGTTCATATAAATTATGCATAGGTAAGTATGCCATATCAAATATTTAGGTTAAGATGGAGCTGTAATAACATGAAATCCGGGTCAGTATGAGGTCATATTTCGCCCTTCTTTGACCGTGTCTTAGTGAGAATTATGCAGTTTTATTAAATTTTACCGTCTAATTAATATATGAAGTGTCATCGAATCTAAAGTAATGAAAAGCTTATTAAACTTTATCTATAGCCTGCGGTTTTGCTCGAGTTAATAAATGTAAAAATGTGTAGGTATATTAAAAATATTATTCATAATATCCCACTTGATATATTATGCCAAATTTTAATAAAATTTATTCACTGGTTTGAGTAACAAATTTTGAAATACTGAGACATATTCAAACATTGTTAGAAACTTTCACATTTATAATATTTGTAGTATTATTTGTATTATTATTAGAATTAGTATTATATTTGTAGTATTATTAGAATTAGTTTCTTAGAAAAGTAAATATTTACATCATTTTTACCAAAGAGAGACTTTGTATAAAAATTCTGTGCTTGAGTACCTCTGTTCCATTAGAGCAGTAGTGTCATAGTAGAGTTGTGTTTACATGGCTGTATTTCGGATTCAAGGGTGGGTTATGGCAATAAAATTACAGGGTATCATGAGGCACAGTAGTATACTCTGTTATGTTCATGATACTGATCATGTCTACAGGCGATAGTTACCACTTTCTATGAGGTGGGCTGTCAGCTTGTTTGCCATTTTAAGTTGCATAAAAAATAATCTTGATATCTAAAAAAAAAAACTAATTAACATAAACATAATTTTATAAGAAATTGAAAATTATTTTTTCTATGTTTGTATGTTTATATTGGCTTTATTTTTTAATAAATTTTAAAAACTATTAAAATGTCATAAACTCTGCTCACACGTTCATAAACTTCCACTCCCAACGTAATACATATACACCAAACTAATACACGAATAGTCCATTACTGTCCAGTATATATTGAGCGCTTTACATAATATAGAGTTCGAATAACTTGTACTAATTCCACGGGCGTCCCAAAAGTTGCCACTTTAGCCTACAGATAGGCGGCGTTGGCTTGAAAAATGCCAACGTAGCTAGCTCCGATAATGTACGAAGCAGAACAATCCATCAGGCCCGCAGAAGCCCTCCGCCGTCCCGGAGAAATGCCCTGTGCTATATTTCTGTCCGGCAATGTCAAAAGGAAGAAATATTGTTTGCAATTTGTAAAGTGACGATTGCACGTGTACGACGATTGTTGTAACTATCGCATTCTAAATTATACGTTGACTGGATATGTTGAATTATACTTTTATTATATTGTAATGTTGTGTGAACATTTATACATACAAGCAATTTTCTTTTGAAAAAAGTACCATTATTACATAACATCTATATTAAAACTGGTTGTATAAAAGCATATAAATAAATAAATAATTATTATTAAAAAATAACAAAGTATAATTAATTCATAAACTTTAATGTTTATACTTAGATTTTATAATTGACTTTCGCATCTTGAGATTTTTTAAATACCCACAAAAATAAGAGAATATAAGCTACGACGTTAGAGGAAAACCAAAAAAAAAGGTAATTGTAGATTTTTTCTGGTTCAATATTTCAAAGTTAACTATCAACAAGACGATTGCAAAAACAGTTAACAAAATCGATCCAGAATTGGTGACAAATCGATAATCATATTTTTTAAAAGTCACTTAATTTTTTTTTTTGCTTTTTGTATACTGTTGAGTATATAACGTAAGTTACAGGTAGTGTTATATAAGTAATATTTTTTCTACTATAGTATTGATATAACTCCATGTTCTGACGATTTCAATTCTAAACATTCTTATATCTATGTCTCTAAAATCCACCGAGTTTATATTCAAGCAAAGCAAATGCAAATGGGAAGCTGTACGGATATATTCGCGAAGTACAAATACCAACTGAATTGGCGATGTCTTAAAATCCTTAGTGAATTTAAGTTAAAAGAAAACAGCCAAATGTTGACATGTCAAGGGGATTTCCAAAATCCTTAGAATGAGACTTATTTTATCGGTTTCTGTTTGTTTCAGTACTAAAACGCGAATAATTTATTATCTTTCGTATACTGGAAAGGAAATTCGATTTTTACCTATCATTTGTATATATAAATAGTATTTCTAATAATAAACCTCACTTATTGATTATATTTTTTCTATTTTTAACTTAGTCCGTAATTTACGCTTGTAGATAACGTTATACATATAAAAAAATGCCTACTTTTAACTTTAAACAAATAATAAAGTGGTTGACTGGGGGAGAATGCTTTTAGCATTAAGTTCACCATGTACACATATTTGTACTAATGAATAAATAAATAGCATTAAAGAGCAAAGTTTTTTTATTTATTTATTTGTATGCTTTTGTACATTCATTCATACGGTAGTATAGATGTTAGCTTATAATAAAAATATACATAGGCAGACTTATCACTTTTAAAGGGATTTCTACCAGTCAATATTTCTTACGTAATAACAAAACAGAAAATAATAAAAGTATCCTTAAAGGTACATTTTATACATATTCGAGAATAACACTTCTTTCAGCAAATATATAACTCAACTCTGTATAAAAACGAAGATTTCTAAATAACATTAGTATAATATGATTGCTGTGCGGTCCCGCCATAGAATAGACCACCCCTTTCTTTCCCGCAGATGAAGTAAAAGGCGACTAAGGACACTTAATGGTCGAGGAAAGGGTAGCAGTATCTTAAAATCACTAAAACCTAATTGCGATTTCTAATTCCGCTCCCAAGCTTGGCAACTACTGGAAATACGCCTCTCATGGCTCCCCCGTGAGTTTATGAGCATATGTTTAGCAGTGGATAGTTAATAGCTGATATGATAATGATAACATAATTTAAATTGAAATTGCATTTAAAACATCTAGATTTTAATCTTGAGAGATTATAATTACGATAAAAGTGCAACTTTGTAGATGCGCTCTTAAGATAGTTTTTGACTACGATGTATTCAATATGGATCTTTAATGCGTATCTAGCGAAGCGTTTAAGAAAAATAGGATTTTCGTCCAATCAACAAACGAGAACACAAATCTAACACAAACCTTTTAAAACTCACACGATAAGCACTATCCATGACTGGATTATCGTAATTTTTTATCTTATATCCACATCCAACGTTATTCGCATTGTTTAATGAGTAAACGTTATTAATGTGATGGTATTTGCATGAAATTCACTGAGTTTTAATTCTGATCTCGATGCAAACATAATATTTCACGAAACCAAAATTGAGCTATATAGTAGTGATATTGGAGTAGGAAACCTCAATATCTCCAAGAGGGACGTTGCAAAGCAATTACCTCTTTCGCCCAAGGCGAGGATATAGAGGCGGAAAATTACTTACGTAATATGTACCTACAGTGCAAACATAATTGTTAGCGTTTATCTAGAACGTTTACTTAACAGAAATCAGACAGCATTGTTATTGAAAAGTATTAATAAAAATAAGTCATAGCGGATCGAGTGCATTTCTAGTTCAACTACGCAAAGTATAATAAAGTGGTTAAATTTTGAAGTTTTTTTGTCGTGTTTCTAACCTGATATCAATGATAACGCACTTGCTAAACAGCTAAAAGGAACCTTTTCAAATTCTGTATAACAAATCAGAACTTAATTTAACCTATTTTGATGCTCATAGGGATACTTTAAAACAATATATAATGCAGTCGCAAATATGAAACTAGTAACGTCCTTGTTATTTTTAGTTTGTTACTTATAAACGCCTTATTGACTCAAAATCAATTTCCATGAAATTTGATGTGTGTATTAAATGGAAGGGTAAAGCTACTATTTTTTTTTGGTAAATCAAGATAATCCGATCATACGAACGAAATCGCGAATAAAAGCCAATGTAAACTGAAGTACTAAGTGCGTAATACAATATACTCTATAATCAGGACTCGAAAAATAGATATCATAAGTTGTTGCTTATATTTTATCCGAAATCAATTTATAATCCGGTCAAATGGTCAAATTGTTAGTTTTCATTTATATCACGGTACCTCGAAAGTTCAGTAGGTACTACAATTTTATGATTATAGTTCTGTACGTCGTAGGAAATGGACTATTTGTAACAGAAATGTAGCGAGCTCACAGTGTACTGTAACATTATCCCACAGTTATAATCGAAACAAATCAAATTTGATGTTTCAAAGGTCAAGGTTCTATTGTACTTTATAGTAATTACAAACTTAATATTAACTGTTATAAAGTGATATTATAATTACTTTAAAACTCGGTTGTAACCTGCCATTTATTGTTGTGATTACTATTTGATTACTCTTTTATCGAAAAGTAATATATTTTTTACATGATATTAAAATCTTATAGAATATTACGATCCGAATTTACAGCTCTATTTTTTAATATTGTTTAGTTGTTTGTTATATAAATTATATTTTTTATCCACAGATTTAAAGTACAAAAAGATGGACGAGAAATGTTTAAGACAGTGTCGGAAATGAAACAGAAGACGCGGAAAAAAGTTGCAAAGTATTGGCAAGGAAGTGCGAGACTGTAGCCAAAACGGTCACCAAAGACATGTGAAATACATTAGAAGAAACAGAGAAACTTTCATATCCAATAAAGCATATCTCATTGAAGTTTGAAGATATCACAAAACATATCTCATTGTTTTATACTAGTCACCTTTTGTGATTATAGATAGTAAAATTGTATTGCTCAAATTCAACTATTCAGTTAAGTACTTTTAAATTTTTAAATGACGAACCTGTCACTATAAATCTATCATATTCTATAGCAGAAAGAAAGAGAAAATAAAAGGTTGAAATGAAATATTTTACCATGTTCTTCTTGAGAAGACGTACATTGATTCTCAAGGCAGTTTTGATACTAACAGCATTATGGTTTATGGTAGCATTACTGACAACAAATGGGGGATCGAGAAATGCAATTGTAGCTCCAGCAGTGGAGTACGATGATGCTGAAGCCAAACCATTAAAAATAGCCAAACCTACTCCTGTGAAAAGAAAAAGTGAATCCTATGGAAACAACTTATCCGATGGTAAGTTAATTATTAAGTTAAGAAGCATGAAATTTTATAACACATTTAAATAAGTATATAGACACTGTTATTAACAACTTATGAACATATTGTAATTTAATGAATCTAATTTCTAATAATAATCAGATGTTAAACAACATTCAAATAAAAAGATAAATAATCAAAGATATTAATACAAAAGAATTTCAATCTACGAGTATAAAATATATCATACTTACACGTCTTTGTGTTTTATAATTACATTTCTCTCATTAGAATTAATGTTATACACGTAATTTATCAATCAATATTAAAATACTATAATTGTGTACAAATATTTTACTGCTTAAATATTATTAGTTAATTTTTTTGCATGATTTGCCTATTCTTTTATTCGTTGCTTTTATTTTAACGTTATGCATGGTAACATGATGTAACTTTGTCCATCACAGCACAAACGCGTGTCAATTGGATTGGTCGTCTCATGGGAGATGAAGGTAATTTTTAATGCTTCATTCGTTAATTTTACGCTTTTTATGCACTGTGCTAGGGTGTAATAGTTATGTTGTAACTGTACAGTTATTGTATATATGTTTGTTTTGAGACGGTTGTGGGAATCACATAAAGTTTTTAAGTAACTGTAATGCTTTTCTAATTGAAAACTTCCTACAAATGCAAAAATTTGCTAAGTGTTCATTCTCAATACTGTGAATCATGTTATGTGACGCATTTATAATTTTCAAAATATCCATAGAGAATTCGCTGGCAATTGCCAAGGACATCCAATATTAATAGCAAATCTACTTGTAGGACTAGGTGTAATAGCTGCCCCTGGCTCGGACAACGCTCCCGGCGAACTCGGCAAACCGGTCGTACTGCCCAAGAATATCAGCGAGGATACGAAATTGGCAGTTTCCGAAGGATGGAAAAAGAACGCGTTCAACCAATACGTTAGCGATCTCATATCGATTAGAAGGAAGTTGCCAGATCCGAGGGACGAATGGTATGGAACCTGTTATCCTTGTTAAATGAAATAAAAAGAAAACGAGAAAACAACTACTTATGTAATAGAGTTTTAAAAAAATTATAAATAAAATAAATATAGTAGTAACCATTACAATCCCTAATAAAGTCGTCAGAGGCATTTATCAATTGTTTCCGTTGTGGGGAATGTAACACTCGATATGACCATATTTCATCGAGCATATTAAAATCCTATGTGGAGTTTGTTAGTCATAAAATATTGTTTTGTTCTATTTCAAATATTAAACTAAAGATTTTTAAATAGATAGAACGTTTATGTTATCACTTTTAAATAAACTTTACAATTATTTGGTTAATTTATGGAATGAAAATTAAATATTCTAGATATTCATAAATGAGTGGTGAAAATTTTATATCATTATTTAATTAATCAAGTAACATCATTAGTATTGTAAATTAGATGAAGTATACATTTACCATATTAAATTTCAGTTACATATGTTACATTAATTACTGACCACTATAATAGTCGTATTATCGAGAAAAAGTTATTGCTTTAAAGTAATTAAAATCAATTTTGAATTTAAATAATGATCTTTCTTTGAACGACAGGTGCAAACAGCCAGGTAGATATCTAGAAGATCTTCCGCAGACATCTGTAGTTATATGTTTCCACAATGAAGCGTGGTCAGTTCTACTCAGAACAGTACATTCTGTATTGGATCGATCACCGCCACATTTAATAAAGGAAATTGTTCTTGTCGACGATTTTTCTGATATGCGTGAGTATTTTGAAACTACTATAATATGCGACATCACCATCATTGTCATTTTAACCATACACTGTACACTATTGATCATAGACTTAAACTGGATCAAAGGTTATTAATTTTTTTATTATATATTTAGAAATAAAACATTTTCCTCTAAAACTATTTTGATATTGAAAAATAGCCAGAGTCTAAGCTGTGAAAATTAATCTTCACATAATTGCCCCCTATAACTATAATCTTATGTAATTTGTATTATTTGTAGTAATAGCATGGATCAAGGGGGTGAAGGAATTGTTAGTAATGAGGACTAACAGGGTCTCCATTACTAATAATCCCTTCTTGCAAACAATCCATGCTAGCAGTATACCTTGCTGTGTCGACCTCCACGTGGTTCCCCCTTGAAAAATTCGTTACAATGGACTAACTATTTTAACTTACCTATCCTTCACTGGTATCTTGCTAATGTATAGCGAGAGCACAGGTGGAGTTACTATTCTATTACTATCCATTAAACTTTTATTATGAAACCTGTGATAAAATGAGATTTTGAACTGTTTTTAAAATATAAATATTATTTTCAGCACATCTAATGCAACAACTGGATGACTACATGTCCTCCCTTCCTAAGGTTAGAATAGTACGAGCGCCACGTCGTGAAGGCCTTATAAGAGCTAGATTACTCGGAGCTCGATACGTCACTGCTCCGGTACTAACTTATTTAGACAGCCATTGTGAATGTACAGAAGGTAATTATTTTAAAAATTTTAAATATAGAATAAAAAAACATAGCATGGTAAGTTTATAATTTTACAAATAAAAATATAAAATGTTTAATAAGCCCATTATATAAGTTTGATGTAATTTTTTTCTTTAAAGGTAAAGTTTAAAAGAAAGTAATATAGTAAAATTTATTAAAGATTTTCTTATTAATAATTTTAGTTAATAAATAAATGAATGAATTTTTATCTTTATTGTTCTCTTTAAAAATGATACAAATTATAAAGATTTAAGATGTATATAAACAAAACGAATAATTAATCACATAAATTTAATTACATAAAAGCAAGGTAAAGAGGAAATAATGGGCGACCTTATCACTAAATAGTGATCTTTTACAAATATGTGTACTGTATTAGGTAGTATCGAAGCATTTGGCGTTCCATTGTTTTTGCCTACCCTAATGGAAGACAGGCGTGACAGATATATATGTTGTATGTAGGTACTGCAACAGAAATTATTTTCCTAAATAGTATTTTTTTTTCTTGTAACTTAAATTTAGGTAATTTTTTTATTTTTTTTATAGAAATTGGTACTTTATTTCAAAGGCGGATAACTAATACGGTGAACAACTTGTCATAAAATCTAGTGCAACTTACAGGTATCTTTAATTAGAGACTTTTAGATGATCTAAGGTTTGCGATATAAGAGGTGTGAAGGAAATTAAACCATTCCTTCAGATAGTGAGCAGTTGAAGGATTATAGAAAATATCATAATATGAAAAAGAGAGTTATAATTAAAAGTTACATAACATAAAGTTGTTTTATTACATAACGTTACATTACATAAAGTTGAATTTTATTTTTAGGTTGGTTGGAACCACTATTGGATAGAATAGCTCGCAACAAAACTACGGTTGTATGCCCTGTAATTGACGTTATCGATGATAATACACTTGAATATCACTATAGAGATTCGTCGTCAGTTAACGTTGGTGGATTTGATTGGAATCTACAGTTCAATTGGCATCCGGTGCCAGCGAGAGAACGAGCTAGACATCATCATACAGCTGAACCAGTTTGGTCTCCAACAATGGCTGGAGGTCTATTTGCTATTGATAAAGAATTTTTTGAAAGACTAGGAACTTACGACAGTGGTTTTGATATTTGGGGCGGTGAAAATCTGGAACTCTCATTCAAGACTTGGATGTGTGGCGGAACGCTAGAGATAGTCCCTTGTTCGCATGTAGGTCACATATTTAGGAAACGTTCACCTTATAAATGGCGTACAGGAGTTAATGTACTAAAGAAAAACTCAGTTCGTCTTGCCGAGGTAAGATTCTGATAGTTTTATATAGAAAAAGAAAAACAAGGGCACACTTTATTGCACCATTTATAAAATAGTATATATTTCTATATATATATATATATATATATATATATATATATATATATATATATATATATATATATATATATATATATATATATATATATATATATATATATATATATATATATATATATATATATATATATATATATATTTTAAGCTACCTAACTATATAAATAGGAGAATTAGTAGTTTATTGATAGATTATGAAATACTTTCATGTAGACTAAAAATCTAAACAATTATTCGTCTGATTATTAAAAATCATTTAAATTCATAATATCATCAGTATCAGCGATACTATACTAGTGAATATAGTAGGATTTTATTTATATAATTCTTTTATTTTATTATGCAATATTTACTATATTCTGATTATTAAATTTCATTCAAATTAATAACTTTTAAACGTGATTGAGTATCAGTGAATTTATATCTAAACATTCAACGTCCTTACAAACTCACCTTTATAATACTAGTGAATATAGTAGGATTTTATTTATATAATTATTTTATTTTATTATGCAATATATTGTGTAATACTCTTTTGATGGATTTAAGGTATGGCTAGACGACTACGCTAAATACTATTATCAACGCGTTGGTAACGATAAAGGAGATTACGGCGACATTACAAGCAGGAAAATGTTAAGAGAAAAACTGGGCTGCAAATCCTTTGAATGGTACTTGAAGAATATCTACCCTGAGCTTTTTATTCCTGGGGAATCAGTTGCCCATGGCGAGGTTCGTATTATTGTATATTTCATTTGGTATTTCTAATAAATAAAAATACAGTTTATTTACGATATTATTGATTTTTTATAAAAGACTAGTAGTTACGTAAATAATCAAGTTTACGTAGAAAAATATTTTCCTATTTAAGTGATGAGTGCAAAAATAATGACGTGTCCTTCAAAATTATTACTTGTACAGATCCGAAATGTTGGCTTCCAAAAGTTGTGTTTGGACTCGCCGACACGCAAGTCAGACCACCATAAGCCCGTCGGTCTATACCCGTGTCATCGGCAGGGAGGAAATCAGGTCTTTATGTCGTTTACAGTTCGACCAAGCGCGGCAGTACCATTTTGTTGGAGTTTTGTTTTTTTTTGTTAATGATGTCCAATTTCACATTGCACTCTTCCCTGCACTTTATCAAAAGTTTCACAGCACAAGTTCACCTTTATTCACAATAATCACTGTTAGGTACGAAATGAAGCGTTTGGTAGACGTTACTGCCTAGATGGTGTGGTGGACGAAGATGATCAAGAAGTAGAACCAGTAATGTTCCACAAATGTCACCATAGTGGTGGCAATCAGGTACCTCCAACAGCGTTAGTGTGGAGTGGCAAATGTGTGTTTGAGGGTTTCACTGGTATCCAAGTAATTGATTTTGTTCATTAAATTAATGAACAACTCATTTTTATTTAATTTTGTCATTTTCATTATCATATTTAGCGTGATCATTTGATTTCTACGGTTTAATATTTTGAATTTTTTGAAATTGTCAAATGATGATGCTAATTCAACACGCTCGCTTTTGGCACGCCTATATAACTTATCAATGGCATCAGATCGCGAACTCCTGGTCGAAAATGTGCCTGGACTCAGCTGCTGGCCCCGACGACATGAAGAAACCTGTCAACGTCTGGCCATGTCACGGGGAGTACGGCAATCAGGTTTGTCGTCGGCATCATTTTCTTATACGAGTATTTCATCCATTGCTTACGCTTTCATTTCGTAGTTGGTTCATGGTGCTCACCAATGCTACGGTAAGTTGGGTTGTATATGTAGTAATCTTTCATTAGTTTCATAAATAATTGAATTAATATGCGTAGATTGTTAAAAGCTATTTTACTAATCTTGGTTTTATCAATATTTTCATGATGGGTTTCGTGTATTTCTCAGCACACAGCAGTTTTGTATAGATTTTTTGCTTTTTCTAATAAAACTTTATCATTAAAATGGAATAAGTTTTGTCAGAATTATGCAACTTTATATTAAATCTGAAGTTATACAAACATATTTAAATTAAGTGAATGGGAATTTTGTTCATTACTTTGTGTGATCTCTTTCAATACTCTTCCAATTTTGGTACTGCCGTTAGGTGTATAATATATAATATAATGTAATATTAATATAAATATCTAATTAACAACTGTATTAAATACTTTTGTATATAGTTATATAAATTGTTTCTATATTCTGTTACACTTTGTATACTTTTAATAATGGGTTTGGGTAACGTTTAGAAATATTTTTTTAACTACAATATTTTCAACATTAAACACTGTAATTTCAATTTTAATTATTATTTATAAAAATCTGTATAAATGAATCAATAGTCCATTATTATGTTTCTGACTACCCTATTTGGGTTTACAATAATAAGCAGATTTGTTTTTAGGAATCGCCATGTCTTCACATGGTTGTTTTGAAAATAAAATACGCGCACTTCCCGTGTTAGTCGCTGATAATGTAGATTTCTATAAGTGAAAGAACTTTTAAAATCGATTGAATTATTTTTGTGTTTATACATTACAAACTATTAAATCTCTCCTTTTTATAATATTAGTTTAGATAAATAAAAAGAGTGAAAACCTAGATAGCACATTAATACCCAAAAATAATATATATATTATACATTACAGTATTGGATGTACTCCAAAAATGGTGAAATACGGCGAGACGAAACATGTCTCGATTATTCGGGACATGACGTTGTCTTGTACCCCTGCCATGGTGCCAAAGGCAATCAGCTGTGGCTTTATGATCCTAATGTAAGTTTTCCTTTAAAATATTTTTACGCTTTTTTAAACGTATTAATATTTTTTTATTTGCTAATGTATCTCTGATTAATTCTCTTTTTAATTTTAATATGTTTATTATATGCGTTCTTTATTAGTTATTGAAAGTTGATTGTTGTTTTTTAAATTAATTAATTTTTTTATACCACATAGGTAGCAAACAAGCATACAGTCCATCTGATGTTAAATAGTTATTATAGCCTATGGACGATAGTGTTGCAACTAGGGGTGTTACATGGGCGTTGCCAACCCTGAAAACCTCTTAATATACTCTTAAAAAACTCCGTACTGTACCATTACGTACCCAATTCTGCAAAGCAGTCAATACATACTAATTACTACTTTGTATATATTTCGAACTGAAAGTAAAATACAGTTTTTGCATATAACTTTAATATTAATATTATTTCGTAATTTAAATTTTCTTAATAGTACCCAAAAAGGATGACGGAGTAGTACATAATCCATCTATGTAATATCTGATGTAAAGTTTACAATAACCGTTTTCTAAAAGATCACTTTATATGAAAAACAAAACACCTAAAACATATTATTTCCTTTACAGACAAAGTTACTAAAACACGGTTCCAGCGAAAAGTGTATGGCGATCTCACGGAACAAGGATAAAATTGTGATGGAGACGTGCAACGATGGGGAGAATAGGCAAATGTGGAACATGGAGAACTTCAACCCTGACAGACTTACGCCAGAGCTAATAGCCGAGTAGCCAGAGGCCTATGATGAAGTTTTATTCATATAAGAGCAAGGACTCGTTTGAAATTTGACTGTGTGTTTATAAATCACTCGTTTTCGACTGCAATGTGTGTTTTGCAATTGTGTACATGGACAAATGGGAGAAACATTAGGATTTTTGCGATTAATCGAGGCCATTTTATTTATAGATATTAAGGCTGTTGGTGTACATTATTTTATACATATTGGAATATTTTAAATTACCAGTTTGTGTAGGCAAACGTACTGATATAGCAACTGTATAGTGTTCTCACTCGTTAACCCCGTCACAATTTGGCCTAAAATATTTAGGGACTGACTTTCCTAATTGCTTTATTTTTGCAAATATTGTATTTAGTTACAATATATATCTACTATTTGTAGTGAATGTTTAATTAATTGTTTAAATTTTTATTTTAAAAGTTATTAAGTGTGTAATTTAATATTACACGTTTATGAATTTTGAATTAAATAAAAATTATAGGTTTAACAATATGAATAACTTTCTCATATTTTTTTTTGTACAATTTTTCAAACTCTCCTGTGCAATTTATTGGACAAAGAACTTTACAATCTTTTAAATGTATTCAAGTACTATTTAAAACGGTTTTCTTAAACTGATGTTTATTATCTATTCTTAATTAATTGTAATAGTATTCTGTATGAAGTATTACTGAATCATTAGATACTAGAAACAGTTTTTTGTACATATCTGTCTAAATATATCATTGAGATATTCCAACTATATTTACTGTAATAACTAAGAATTATGTACATGAGTGATTACTTTAGTTAATATTTTCTTTTGTGATTTATTTAAAACATAATAGTCATTCGACTTACATGGTAGAAAATTGTAACTTCTAAATGTAAAGTATAAATAGATATAATTAAAAAAAAAATTCGCTCGAGTAAGTGTATATTTTTGTATTAATCGTTATATGATTTGACGAATTTATAATTTATTTTAGTTTGTTTTTTTTTTCGTAATTGTGTGTTATAGAAACATTGTATTATTTTTTAATCTAATGCGACTGAACTCTAGATTAATTCATAATTGATTATGTTGCTCGTTTAAATTTATAATATTAATGTCTTTAAGAATCATTTTTATAATGTTATCATAAATTACTTACTGATTAAAGAACATTAGTTAGCTTTCCTAAATAGTTCTGAATTTAACGTTAAAATGTCATATCATAATAATTCTACTATTGAAATCAATAATATGTACTGGTAGAGTACGTTACATGGCACAAGAAGCTGCTCTAATTATTTTTTTTTATATAATTTGACGTTACTGCATTAACGTTACTCATTTCAAATGGAAATCTTTTATTTTAATCTTTTTAAATATTTAATAAATTGTTTAAACGTTTCATAATAACATACAATAGCTAATTCCTACTCTATTTTATTCCAATCTATACATTCCTATTATGTGATTAAAAATTCCTATTATGAGGTTTATAAGTAGCTAGGGTATGAAATGCCAATATTTTTCCAATATATTAAATACATGACAAAATCTTTTTTATGTTATTTGGAGTTTATTTAATAATTAAGAATGTCCCATATTTATATACTCTAGTGGAGGTGTTGAAATGTAATTATTATGTTGTTTTTAAATTTGAGGTTTTCAAGGGATATGAATTTAAACATAAACGTTTTAAACGAAAAATTTTTATTATTATATTTGTGCTTGTTTAATTATTTTAAATGTGTATTGGTTTAGTTAAATCTACTGCCAGTTAGTCTTCCTTTAAAGTTTCTTCAGGAATGGCAACTCATGAAGGGTATCATGGACAACACGGTATACTATGTTGTCTATGGTACTGTTCACGTCTATAGGTGATGGTTACCACTTTATCAGATGGATCGTCATCTTGTTTGCCATTCTAAGTTGTATGAAAAAAGCTTTTAATTTTAGTTTACTTCAAGTGAGCGTGTTCAATGCTCATGCTTTCTCAGAAAACTAGAACTTTCCAAAAAGTCGAAGGTTATAGCAATTGTGTTGGCATGCCCACAACCTCCATCATACAACGGTATAAACTTCTTGACGTAAATAAAATTTGGGATTCGTAGCATCAGCTTTTGTATACAGGCTCATGTTTTTAATGATTCTTGGAATGAACGTTCTTGGTTGTTACCACAAAAGATCTTGACTCTGAAAACTGAATCCTACCGTATCTATTACATCGATATGGACTACTGAATATATAAAAAAATATTTTTTATTACTTTATTATTCAGACTCAAAATTGTTTCAATATTTCTAATTATAGATAAAATTCTCAATTTGTCATAATTTTTCAATCGCGGATTATGTTTTTAAATACTTATTGTTTAATTTTTATTTATTATTTTGCATTTCAAGAATCTAATAAAATAGCGGAAGTTTTGAAGCCTACTATCCATGGAGGTATAGATGCACATTCGTCTGAGTATGATTGTTATATTTGCTGCTTCCATATAATTGTACGATGTTCTATTGATAGTGGTACAGTATAGTATTTATATCGTTTTATATGAGTTTTATAATACCTGTTTGTGTTTAATGATGAAAATGGAATGATACCCGGTATTAACCACATTGTTTTCCATAGGGGACCGCGTGGGGGTAAATCTGGTAGAGTATATTGCAAGCAATAAGGACAAACATTATTATTAACAATCCATTCCTCCTCCTCTTTCCTATAATGACCCTTGTCCTGTTCATTTATATAGTACCACGAATATCATTTATTATAAATATAAACGTAGTGGAAATTTCTGGAAATATTCATTTGAATTATTCTTATTCATTATTATTTTTATTTATTTTTTTTTCTGTTTAGTGAAAAAAGTCTATATTTATTTGTACTAAAACAGTATTCTCGTACATTGAGCAAGAAATATAAATAACAGAAATAATGGTGAAATATAAATGTACGAGATAATTACAAATCAAAGAAAATTTATGACATGCCGAGTTAGATAAGGTTTATAATATATTTTGCAGTGTCGATGGAACAATGCTTCCCTGGATAGTAAGCTTTGCTGATGTTAGCGAAATAAAAACTTTTAAGTACTCTCACGGGGTACATAAAATTCATAAGATACTGAAAAATAAAAAAAAATTAACGAGTACCTACAGACTTCTTAGGAAGTACCGATATATTGACATGATTTTTTTATAGTTAGTAGCATACTATAATTTATACTATCTTTTACAAGATTAGTTCACAATATTTAAAGTAACTACTCAGTTAAAGTGAATAAAATGTAAGTTAGCTTATTACGTACAGTCAATAATTACAAATAGCTATTCACTTACTTTTGTTCATTTTATGCTTTAGGATGCGTTTATAATTTTATTAATAGAAAAAAAAACTTCATAGTTATCAAAAGAGATTTCTAAGTTTTGTTCCCTCTGTATATAAAATAAAGGTATCGGGCGTTCGTGTTTCATAGTAAATAAACTAATTATAATTGCTCCAGACATCGTACGTATCATGCTGACTAGTTCGATATAATATTTCCTGACGTTTCAGATCCCTTTTTTTGCTACGCTTCAGAATATCGGGCCTCTTTAGTTCCTTCGTTATTAAAATGATGTTCAAATAGCTCGGTTTTATATATTTTATTTCCACGTAGTAGATAATTCTTAAAACAATTGTCTCTTTCCACTTCGTTGGAATAAATTTTATGTCGGATTAATTTAAATTCGTTTAGTTTTTATGAATTTTATTACGTACCATGGTGATGGTACGCAATAAAATTCGTGTATATATGATTGAGTACAATCGATGTATTTTCCATATGTAATTTGTCATTAATTTACAAAATTATAATTTTTTTACAGTTAGAATTTGTATTAATTTTTGCAATCGTATATTGCAATAGAATATTTCTCTTAAAATCCCTCACATTATATTTATATTTTCTTTCCGTATTGAAAATATTCAAGTTAAATTGTAAATTTTTATTTTGTTTATTTGCCCCCTTTAGTACGATAACGTCGAAATCTTGGAGCAACGTTTAGTTAAATGATGATTGTATTCATAAATTAGATTTATTTAATTAATGATACATTAAAACCTGTAAAATAGTAGTTCATATCTGTCTAGGTAGGAAGTTTAAATGTGCCTTATATATTTTTAGGTAACTATTATTAAATGTTGAATTTCTGTATATAACGCGATGTCTCCAATTGTATTATAATATAGAATAGAAATATTAGATGGCGATAAAATAGTATTTGTAAAATAAAGCATTATGTTGGATTTGTACAATTACTTGTTTTATTTTATATCCTCGATTCTAGTATTAAATATATTTAATTTACATTCTGAGCCTTCTAAAATGTAACCAGGCACTTAATATAACTCTAAAAAAGCACTAGCACTGGGCACCACTGTCTCATTTGTGTTTCTACCGTGAAGCAGTTGTGCTTGCATGGCTGTGTTTTTCGGTTTAAAAGGTGGGATATAGTGAATTTACAGGGTACAGAGGAATAACACCTGAATTCTCAGGAATGGCAACGCATGCGGGGTATCATGGGCAAAACAGTATACTTTGTTGTCCATGATCCATATCAGGTCAGCTTGTTTGCCATTATGAGTTGCATAAAAGAAATATCATGTATTTGTCTAATTGTCGTTTAAATATGACAAAACTCATATAGTAGTAATAAGTCTTAGTAGAAAAAATTTTTGATCATATTCAACCCAATTCAATATTAGCATCATATATTGATATATTATCATTCATATATTTCATATAGCTTATTGGATGGGTTATTTAAAATTAGTTTAATACCTCTAATATAGATAGAGAACCTTTTTTATGTGCTACTTACAAGTACAATGGCAAATAGAACAACTATCTATCCCCTCTCACTGTACTGGTTTCGCGTCAAATTTTTTTCTCCTACATTCTTCAAGACTTTGGAACGCGCTTCCTGATACCATTAAGAGACTATCGACTAAACTATGTTTCAAAAAATAAAGTATATATGTATATCAATAATTACTAGTATTACATTCAAGTATTATGACACTTCCCTATGGTTGACAGGGGGAGAATGCTTTTAGCATAAGTTCACCATGTATACATATATGTACAAATGAATAAATAAATAAATAAAGTTCCACCTAATTTAAATTGTTAATTGTCACCTGTAGATGTGAACACTACCAGAATATCACAACATACATTGTGACGTCCATAGTAATCCAGCATGCGTGGGAGAAAGGGACTGTTAATATATGATTAAGGGTTTAACAACTCCATTGTCAGCAATATATCCTATAAGGTCAATGTCCATGCAGACCTTATCGCCTTGGAACCCATCGTAGTTAATTTATGTAAAATCCATCACTATGGATTTCATTCTCATCTGTCATTTCTCACTGGTGCCTCGCCAGCGTATACAAATAGCGAAATTGGGCATATAATTCAATTTTCATTTATTTAAAAAAATACATTCATGCGTTACCCTTCCTGAGAACTACAATGTTATAACTTCGTGCTCTGTAATTTCACTGGCACTAACCATTCACTTTTAAAATACATTTATACAAGCACATCTCTGTCACAACACGAATACTCGAATTATGATAAGCAAACGAATTTATTTCTTTATTCCATTTCATATATTATTTAGTATTCTTCCTATTATTCTTGAGTTCTAATTTGATTGAAATCAAATTTTCTGACATTTTATATTTATGACCCGTCGTGTTATATTCTAAAGGTCAACCATTAGTTCAACATAGTAACAGTATAATAATCAACAAAATAATCTCTAATAGGTAATATTTATACAGTATGTTAACTAATGTAATCCATTCCTTGTTACCGTGTAGTCCCATAGAACTGTCCCAACCAGGTCGACTTTCTCGCGGTTCTTCCTAAGAAACTATCATGGTTAATTTCTGACGATTGATCATGTTGGGCTACTGGCCTGTTAAAACATCATCTATCACCTTCACTGGTGCCGCGCCAATTTGCCTGCCAAGCATAGCAACAACTGGCAGAACCCCTCGAGCGGAAGGCCTATGTTCAGCAGCCAACAGTAACATTAATAGGGTCTTAATAACTACATTACACGACGCAAGATATATGTACATACTATTATACCTTTGAATGTAACGCCGTTGATAAAAATATAGGTTGCACTTTTTTATTTTTATTTTATTTATTTATTTAAAGGAACACCAACACAAATATTGCATTATTACATATATAAGAAACATTAAATATAATACAATATTAATGCACTACACGATTATGATATATGTACATATACCTTCGAATGTAACGCCGTTATATATATATATATATATATATATATATATATATATATATATATATATATATATATATATATATATATATATATTCGATAAGTTTAATTTATTATTTTTTAATTAAAATCTATATGTACATATATATGTACAAATTAAGATAAAGATTCACATACTTCTTTGCTTTCATTACAAACGTAGAGAGCTTTCTGTTACTATTTAAAAGTATGCATTTTTTCCGAGTATTTCATACAACCTTATTTTTTTTTCAACGGTCTTTGACATCGGAACATCAATGACATCCATTCTGAGCTGAAATCCGACGGCCGAGAGCACGTGACCCGCCGTCGAAAAGACCAACGCTCACTAATCCAGCAGATTAAAACTTTTCAAAGCAACAATAACAAATTTCGCTCCAACAATATGGGTTCCATAGTTTATAAATAACTTTTCACAAAACTGATTTGATTTTCTTTAAATAGCTTGAGTCTATTGATAGCATCCCGCATGGGTACAGAAGTTCGTATGTAGTTTTGAAACGTAGTTTAAGTTCGAGTTTCCGAGTTTGAATTCTAGATGTTTTATTGGTTTACGTCTAGAAATTTCTCGAAGCTGTCAATTTATTGTGCAGAATTTCGTAGTTGTTCCGAAACAAACAACATAAAATGAATGATGTACTCTCTTGTATTCTGAGACTTTGATATTAAGTTGGTTCTAATAGTAGTCGATATTTGGTGAGCATATGCATTTGTACAATGAGATACCTTAATAATATATCAAAAATATGAAAGTTTGTACGTTTGGATGCTTTTACTCTATCAAAATTATATTACTGAACTACTAATTTTAATTTAATAGCAGATAAACCTTTATGTATTAATATGTTGTGTGGTCTCAGTATAGAATGGACCACTCCTTCTTTTCTTGTGGGTGTTGTAAGAGGCGATCAAGGGAACTTAATGAGCGAGGGATAAACAGTAGCGTCCCTCCTAAAACATCTCCAAAAACAAAAAGGTTTTAAGAGGGATGCTGCTACCTATCCCAACGATATCATATGTTTAAAGCCTAACTGCGGAAAATGAAAAATTATATTAATATTAAGTTATTCTATTATATTTCGATGAAATAATTCCCATTACTTTATGGAGGTACTTTACGGATTTTGGGCAGAACAATGTTGGCAACATTAGCTTGTTATTTAATCATAAAGAATCATTATAATTGTTTGTATTTAACGGAGAAGTAGCACTTACTATGTACAACCAAATTGAGAATCTGTTTTAAGAAATACGTATTTTGTAATTTAATGTAGGACCCTAAAGTACAAAACAAAGCATCCAGCTGCAGTGCAACGCTCGAGGCAGATTCGGGTACATATTTTTAACCAATAGGTACTGCATACAACTCTTATCCATTTGGTAATGTATCACTGGTTGTTCGTTTAATATTATATATTATCTATTTATATATTTGGAATTTATTATTTAATTTTTGAATACGTTTGTAAACATTAGCAGTAATCTGTGGTTTTGTCCAGGAAAATATCATAATAATATAATAATCGAAAACATTCTTCTCACTACAAGATATTAAAATCCATTAAGTCTTGTAATTGTAATTGAGTGATAAACAATGTTTAAATTTTCTTCATAAACTCACTCATAAAATATTAGAATAAATCTGCAACTTTTTCTACATGATTTAGACAAAATTATTATATACTATCGATACGACCTATACGATTTAGGAATCGTAAAGGATAATTTATGTCGAATTTCTTATAGACAATCTAATAAATTATGCTTTATGATTCGTAAAAAAATATATAATATATAAATATTTTAGTCATCAGAATCATATCAGCCGTTATCTGTCCACTGCTGAACATAGGAACCAACCATAAGGAATGGAAATGAAGCACCGAATTTAACCGAAGTATGGCTGAGTAAGTTTATAATAAAAAAAAAAAAAAAAAAAAAATAAAAAATATATATATATATATATATATATATATATATATATATATATATATATATATATATGATAACATTTTTGTACTTTTGTATCAAATACTATTCAAATACTCATACGCTCATGCTTAGGGGCAATAAAATAAACATTCATTTGGACGTTTTTTTACTTAATCGTACTTAAACCTTTCATAAATATCTAGCAAAATACTGTTATGAATCCATTAGAAAACATACAAATAACGCATTAAAACAAAGAACACAGTATCTAACTGCCCATAAAAAGGTTTTTTACCCTTCAATAAACAGTAAACCCGGGACCCGAGGGTAAAGCTTTTTAGTTAAATCAATTTATAACCAGTCGTATGGCTGTAGCCACCCAATTATGCTATTTTATGTACACATTAAAGTATATTCATAAATTTCGATGTCCCTAACAAGAAGTCATAATGTTGAAACGTGTGTCCCTTATTTGTTCGAAACAAAAGTTTTAATGTCACGCCTCCGAGTGGGTGAGCAGTATTGCAATTGGACGACAGTTCAGGGAAATTAATAATGCCAGTGTACATAACAACGGAATAGAACGACTGTCTGTTTATATTATTTCACTGTTTTGATGTCTTTAGCGGGAATAAATAATAGCAGGTTATTACTTTAGTTTTGAAATATATTATGCTAGTAATAAGTTTATGGTCTTATTCCCTAAGCATAATTCAGACATTTGTGGACTGTGGAAGTCCAAGTGTTTTAATGATGTACGTATATACCTCCATGTATCAAACGAATAAATCAATTTTTTGTCATTAATAATTATAATTAATGGCAAATAACAGCACAAAACAAAATAAGCTATTTGACAATATAAAAAAGTAATTTTTTTGGAGATTTAAAAGTAGTACGCATTTACTATAGCATTAGGACTTCTATGAGCAAGTTGTAAGCACTTTTTGTGTATTATAGGCTTTTTTGGCACACTAACAAATAGTTTTACCAGTGTTTTATGGTAGTATTTGT